TCTAGATAGATTGGTTGTTCCTTTTCCACAGAAATGTCACAAAAGTAAGAACAGGCCCACTTTATCACAAGTGGTTGGAAACACCCTTCTAACCAGTTTCACTTCTCTGGCTGTGTTCTGTGTTCTGTTTGTGTATTGTCATGAATTGACTTCTCTTTGGAAATTGCACACTAAAAAGTAAGCCTTATGTTTACTAATCACTATCAGTATTAAGATTTCATGTAGAATATGGTTTTAAGATAAGAAAATACCTGGATGTGAGCAGGCTGCGCTTTTATTAATTTAAAATCATTTTTACATGTTTAAGCAGAATAGATTTATCTCAGGCTTAAGGGAAATTCTACTAGGCTCCAAGGCTCTGTGAGGATTTTAAAGCTGTGCACAGATCTCCTTAACTCTCTATGCCTGTCCAAAAACACATCTCCAGGCTAGGGACTCTAGTTAATAACCACTTAATAAAAAGGATATCAGATTCTACAGGGCCAGACCACTTCGTTTTGGTATTTATAGTTAGGCTGCTCTCAAAATGATTGGGAAGTATTCCCTCCTGCGTTCTCTGAAACAGTTTGTGTTGGATTATGTAGCTCACTCCACAAGTTGAATCCCCTCCCCTAGCCTTAATCCCTAGAACCTCAGACTGTGGACCTTACTGGAAATAGGGTCACTCACTATGGATGCAATGTTCAGTGAGGTCATATTTGGTTAGGGTGGATTCTGATCCATCATGACTGTATCCTTCTAAGAAGAGGAGAAAAAGATACTAACACATGAGGGGAGAGTGTTGTGTGAAGACAGGCAGAGACTGACATGCTACTCTGCCAACCAAGGAACAGCGAGGTCTGCTGGCAGTTGGAAGAGGTGAGGAAGCCATCTCTCTGCAGGATACAGAGGGCAGGGCCCTTCCAGCCCCTTGATTATGAATTTCTAGTCTAGACGTGTGAGACAAGAAATTTCTGGTGTTTGAGCCACTGGTTTGTGATATTTTACTAGGGTAGCCTTAGAAAACTAATATTTATATTATTTCTTTAAATTTTAATAAAATGCACCAGTGAAATAGGATATCGAGTTCTCTTTGTGGAACATTTTCTAATTGTAACTTCAACTTTTTAAATGAATACAGGGCTGGCTATATGGATTGTTTGCTCTTATGTCCGTTTTGGTAATTTGTATATAAAAATAGTTTGCGTCATCTAAATTATTGAATTTATGAGTATAAAGTTGAATTTTTCATAATTTTCAAGGTGTCTTTAGAATCTGAAATGATCATCTTCTATTCCTGATGTTAATTTTGTTTTCTTTGTTCCATCTACCTCAGTGATTCTCACCTGGGGACAGTTTTGCCCTCTACCCCAAGCAGGGGACATTAACAGTTTTTGGTTGTCACAAGTTGGATAATATATTAGTGGCATCTGTTGGGAAGAGCCCAGAGATGCTGCTAAATATTCTGTAATTCACAGGACAGACCCTGTACAATGATGCTATAATGACAGAAGTGCTAAAGTTAAGAAAATGATTATAAGTTTACAATGTATACCTTTTGTTTTCAAAATATTCTACCATTTCATTTTTTAAAAAATTTTTTCTTTTATTCTTTAGGTTTATTGGTACATTTTAGGTATACAGTATGATGACATTCATTGTTGGCAATTTGTTCCTTTACATAATAAATCTTGCTTCTTATTTTTTCCCCATTCCCCTACCCTCCCTTCAACCCCTCCATCCCTCCCTATTTATAAAGACTTTGTTTTCATGTTTTCCTTTTCTCATATTAATTCCATTCCCTTCTTTCCTTTCCCTTACCCCTCCCACTTCTCCTTCTCCTTTGCCCCTTTTCTTCCTATTTCATATTATCTGTTACACATTTTGATTCTTATTTACACTTTTAGTTTCTCACACCAGAGAAACTATTCGGTATTTACACATGTGTGTCCTATTTATTTTACTTAAAGAGTATGGCCTCAATATGCATCCATTTAGCATGAATGTCTCTAGTTTCTCATTCTTTATGGCTGAGTAGTACTCCATTTTATAAAAATACCACATTTCCTTTATCTACTCTCCAGTTGATGGGCAATTGGGCTCATTCCAAGTTTTAGCCGTTACAAACTGTGCCACTATAAACATGGGTGCACATATATTGCTGTGATAATGATTCTTTTAATTCTTTTGGGGAGATACCCAGCAGGGATATAGCTGGGCCAAATGGGACCTCTAGTTCTAGTTTTGTAGGTATCTCCATTTTGATTCCCACAGTGGTTACACCAGTCTACACTCCCACCAATAAGTGGGGAAGGGTTCCTTTTTCTCCACAGCTCCACCAATATTTGTTATTGGTTGTTTTCTTGATAGCAGTCATTCTTTCTGGAGTGCGATGAAATCTCAGCATTGTTTTCATTTGCATCTTTCGAATGACCAATGATACTGAACATTTTTTTTCATATGTTTATTTGTTGTTTCTACTTCTTTGTCTGAGAAATGCCTGTTCATTTCAGATGCCCATTTTTGGATTGGGTCTTAAATTTGGGGGTCTGATTTTTTAAAGTTCTTTATATATTCTAGATAGTAGACCTTTGTCAGGAACAGCTGTCTACCACTTCATTTTTAATGTAAGCACCTTACAAATATTTCTGTTCATTCCATTCTTTCATTTATTTTGTTATAGACATGTATTTTGTGTCTCTATGTATTATAAACCCCACAATACACAGCTGTTTTTTCTTTAAATAGTCTTAACGGAATTTTTTAATTGAGGGGGAAAATACTTTTACTGTTACCCATATGTTTTCAATATTCTTCATTGTTTGTGTAGATCCATATTCTCATTGGTTATTTATTTTTTTTCTACTTGAAGAGTCCTCTTGGGTCTTATAGTATGGGTCTGCTTCTGTTAAGACAATGCAGTATTGGGCCGGGGATTTAGCTCAGTGGTTCCGGCACCTGCCTCACAAGCACAAGGACCCAAGTTCCATCCCTGGTACCAAAAAAAAAAAAAACGCAGTATTTTGGCTTTCTTTTTGAAGTATATTTTGGCTTGATTTATATTTCTCAATGTATAGTTTCAAAATATTTTGGATGTGAGGGCGATCTGGCTGCGACATCTGTCACCCCATTGATTGTCTGGGTTGATTTGGCTGATCTGGCTGGCTAGGCGGGTGTCCCCTTCCTCCCTCACCACTCCATGTGCGTCCCTCCCGAAGCTGCGCGCCCGATCGAAGAGGACGACCACCCCGATAGAGGAGGACTGTTTCCTCGGTTAAGGGTATACAAGTAGCTGCGCTCCCCTGCTAGAACCTCCAAACAAGCTCTCAAAATATTTTATAAATGTCACTCCATTTTTTTCTTGTGTCATAAATGCTGGTAAGAAATGTGGCCTTTTTTGGCTAATAAAAGTTAAGCATCACATATTGGAAATGCTTGGGGCTAAAAGTCCCTTGAGTTTTAAATTCTTTTTCAGATTTTAAATTATTTGCACTTACATATTGAAATGTCTTGGTGATGGGACCCAGATTTAAACATGAAATCCTCTTATTTCTTGTGCACCTTGTAACAGCCTGAATCTTTATACAATATATACAATATATATTTTTATACAATATATAATTTTATACACTGTATTTAATGAATGTGCATGAAACAGATTCATGATGTAGAATTTTCCATTTGTGGTATCCTGTCCTCACCCAAAGAGTGTTGGATTTTGGAGCATTTCAGATTGCGGATTTGGACTAGGGATGGTCAACCTGGATAAAGCTTCTTTAAGAATGTATATTTTATAGTTTTTCTAGACTTTTTAGGGTTTTTTTAAAGATTTTGTAGTAACTTTTAAAGAAAATTTTAATGCACTATGCTTAGCATTTGTAAACAAATGTGTTTATTATTGTTTATCTATTTTCCTTTCATTTATTAAAAAATGTATACTTGGGCAAGCCATTAATCTGAATCTCAGTTTCCTCACCTTGTAAAATTGAACTACCAGTTAATTATTTTCAGGGTGCATTGTGAAAGTTTAGTGTGATAAAGATTTCAAAATCTCTAGAACTTGTAGGAACTTATAAACACACAGTGACTCACATGTATCTCTTTCCATACCCAACTTTACTTTTGACCTTGGGGTTCACATTTTGCAGTAGCTCTCTGGAAATGCCTGTCCTCCATTCCCTCTCCAGGATAGTGGGCAGTGTAGCCAGGGCTGAGCCAAATTGGGGAGCCCTGATGAGTCCATAAATAGGTACTGTTGTCACTGCTTATGATATTTGCTCCTAATGATGGTTCATATGCTGATTTTAAATAAGCTGATCTTTTACTTGCGCAAGATTGGAAGATAATTTTTAGGATATTTTTATATGTCAATTAACACCTTTAAAGTATATGGCTATAGGGGCCGGGGATTTAGCTCAGTGGTTCTACCACCTGCCTCGAAGGCACAAGGTCCCGAGTTCAATCCCTGGTACAAAAAAAAAATATATATATATATATATCGCTAGATATGTGGTTCAGTGGTAGAGCAAGTACTTTACACATATGAGGCTCCCAAATTAAATGTCTATGACTGTTTTACACAATTTTCTATATTTCTTTTTCCCAGGATGTTCTTGTTTTCATTTATGCTGAAGTCATATTCATTTTCCATTTCTCAATTGTGTAGACAGGCCACAGTTTTTAAAGTATATTTTTATATTGGGAAAATCTTAGATATAATTTGTGGTTTGGGATTATATATCTTATAATCAATAAAAGAACTTCTTTCAATAAATCTTACTACTTAGAATATATAATACTAATGTTTACATTAAAGGATGCATACACTGAAATACCCTGTTTTCTTTCCCAGCAAGAGAAGCTAACTTGATATGAGATTTCTTTTTATAAATAAATATTATTTTTCTTTCCTTACGAGTTAGTTGAACTGCTGATTTTTACTTATATCTGGCTGAAGGCAGCAGCAGCACCCAGGCAACATTTGTAAATGTTTCTTCATTGTGTTTCTGCTCCTTTCCTAGTGGGCCTTTGGAGTAACACTGTGGGAGCTTATGACTCTGGGCCAGACACCCTATGTGGACATTGACCCCTTTGAGATGGCTGCTTACCTAAAAGATGGTTACCGAATAGCCCAGCCAATCAACTGTCCTGATGAATTGTGAGTTTTTCAGAGTGTGAATACATGAATCTCATTTCATTTAGAATACTGTTATAAAAGCAAAAGAACAAGCATCCATAGTCATACAGAGATCCCTTTTGACTCCTCAGGGTTGAACCAGACTTGCAGAGAACCACAAAATTAGATTTATTCACTCTTTTCTGCACTTGACTTATTTATAGTGTGTAATCTAAGCACTGTAAATTAGTCTGAGAGACTAATGTACACAGTTAGAAGACTGAATGCTATTACCTGACTTGTGTAAACAAAAGGGTACAGTCCTTATAAAAGCCTTTCTCACGGTCACCTTGACTTGCCAGGTATCCATTGGCACATAAGGAAGATGCTCTGTGTTAGTGAGTGGCATAGTTGCTTCCTGTCTTCTGATTTTGTCATGTAGGATCTTCCATATTGTGGAAGTAGGGTGGGCAGGAGGCTCGTGGGGTAAGTGGATTGCACAGATGAGTGTAGTCTTCAGAACCCCCTGAAGGTTTCTATACAGAGCAAGGTTTGATGTAGATTCAGCGTTCTTAGGCCTTAGGTAAAACTTTCTGTGAGTTCTTCCTATCAGAACTTAAATAGAAGATAACTCAGATTATTACTTGATTGTCTTTTATGTATTTCCATGAACTTGGTATTTGCTGAAATATTTTGGTATCCTCTCATGAGGAATTGAAATCTACATGTATAATTCAAGTAACTAATTTGAGTTTTTCATTTTAGAATTGCCAATACATAGTAAAGTTAATCACGTTTAATATATTCTGCATATTTGCGTTTAAACAGAAAACAAAACTGCTGTCAAATTGACTAAAAGATAAGGCGTGTTCTTTTAGTAGCAACATTTTCCATTGTCACTACAGATTTGCTGTGATGGCCTGTTGCTGGGCCTTAGATCCGGAGGAGAGGCCCAAGTTTCAGCAGCTGGTCCAGTGTCTTACAGAGTTCCATGCCGCCCTGGGAGCCTATGTCTGAGTTCTCACAGTCCCACAGCATCAGAGGACACGGTTCCTGCCACACTGCCTCGTGTGTAACACAATGCCAGCAGAAGCACATTTGTCTTCCAGAACACCGTGCCTTAGGAATACTTCAGAATCTGAACTTTTTTAAAGATAGACTTAATAATGTTTAATATTTTCTAGGTATCACTTTTATTAAGTTGAATTAAAAGAGATTTTGTAAATTGTTGGGTCAAAAATTTTTTAAAACATAGTTACTTTGGACTAAGGGTGCATTCTGACTAAATAAATAAGCAGTTTTTAAAATTGTTTAGACACATATTTGGAATAGCTGTCTTAGTGCCAACTGCTTTTTGTGTTTTTACTTCAAGGTAATGTAGGTGGCTTACCTTTAAAGTTTTTTAATATTATTTTTATCACTACTCTTGGGAATGGTTTGTCTTCAAGATACAGTACTTTTCTTAGGAAAGAAAAAGCAGCATAAAAAGATGTCTGATTTACCTTGTACTAGAAAAGGCAATACTGGAGGGAGAAAAAAGCTAGAGAAAAAAAAAGAATTTTTAAAAATACTAGAAACTACCCTTGCATGAAAATTTAAAAATTTTTTAAATGAAAAGCAATTCTGCTTTCTTATTTTGGAAGAAACAGGAGCTGAGTTCCTTACATCTTAAATTTGTTAGAAATTAACTTTTCTGTGAGCCAGAAGTGGGTTTGAGGCAGATTAGTAGGAAGTAATGACAATTTTATTTATTTTTACTCTCTGGGAAAGGACAGAATGCAGTTCCAGAAAGTGAAACCTCATTTCTAAGGTTAAGATTCCCTTTTATTGCACCTAGAATAAGTGCTATGCACAGAGTAGGTGCTTGAGTTGTGGTTTTTTAAAAAATTGTAAACTGATAAATTTTGTGCTTATCTTCAAGGCTGTCTTAAGTGTAAAATTGTTTTTTAAGAACTTGAAAAATAAAGGATTTGTTTTATATTATGACGGTATTGAAAATATTGTTTATATTGCTGTGGCTGTGTCTGTGAACATGCAACACCTAAAGGGTCATGTTTTATTTTATGAATGTTCCACTCAGTTCCAAAACCATAAAACAATAGTTGAATCTGCTCAGCTTCCAGGATCCAGTGAAACATTGGAATCATTTCTTCAGAGCCATTAAATAAGAGGTATGTATGTATTTATACCCAGTTTTAATTGTCCTAAGATGGAGTGGAATGGAACTACAAAAGAAGCAGGTACATGCCTCTCCTTACATTGAGAATATAAGGGAGAATAATGTGTGGCAGTTGGAGGCATTTGCTGTTTTTAAATAAGCTTTTTGAATCAGTAATACATCTGGAAAAATGTACATGCAACCCAAGAGTGTGATTTTCTATGTATAGTTTATTAACACTGGTGTTTTGGTTCTATGAAATACATAGTCCCCAAATGGCTAGTTTCAAAAGAAGCTCCTTTGAGCATTTGTAGATTATAGATGTTTTTGTCTATAACCTACATTCTTTAGGAAGCATTCAGTCAACAAATAATTACTTACCATAGAGCCATTCAGTTCTCACAACTCTTCTAATATTCAGCTCATTCTTTTGCATGTTTAAAGGAGTACATAATAACAGTTAAATAGACCTGTTCAAAAGATAAAAGTGCTGACATCTGACTTGGTACCCATTTAAGAAGTGCTCTCAGTCTGCTGGAGTATTATGGTGCCTTTAAACTTGCCTTTTTGTGTTTGTAAGCTCTTCTATGTATGTATGTATGTATGTATGTTTGTTTGTTTTAGTAGATTTTTCTTGCTGAGTTAGTAGGAAACATTGACATATGAAAGAAAATAATAGTTATAAGGATTCCATAGCTGGTCCTCTTCCAGTGGTTTTGTCACAGATTGCAAATATTACTGGACAGATTTTGTAGAAAATGTAATTTTAATAGGAAAGAAAAAATTGACAAAGCAGTGATGTGATATAAGCTGGATCTTGTTATCTAAATGTCCATTATATTCTGTCCTTTCTTACAGTATTCTCATTGTGAGAGAATTTTAGATGCAAGGAAGATGGAGGTATTCATTCATTATGTCTCTTGAGTGCTCACTGTATGCCCAGTTCTCAGGATATGTAGGGAGCAAGACAGACGACATTCCTCCCTTTTAATATCTCACGTTCTATTTAGGTGAAACAGATTATGAACAAAACAAAATTTTGCCAAGTACTGAAATAGAATTCATACAGCAGTATGAGAATAATTTTAGATGTCATAGTTACCCTGGCTTCTTTGAGCAATGAGTATTTGAATTGAGAGTTGAATGACAAAAGCCAGCTGTGAGAAGATCCAGTCTAAAGGAACATAATTGCAGAAGCCTTCAAGCAGAAACAAACTACCCTCCAAGCTAAGCCCTTCTCCATCCTCCGTTTGCTGCTGTTGGAGGGAGATAAAGGAGGTTAGTGTGGCTTGAATGCAGTAGGAAAGGGAATGGGACCAGATCAAGTCTGAGAAATTCAAGAAGTAGACAGCCAGTCCTTGTAAGCCATGGGACACATTTATACTGTATTCTGAATACAATAAGAATTCATCCAAAGGTTTTTCAAATAGGAAGTGACATGATTCAATTTATCATTTTAGAAAGATTGACCTAGCTCATCTGAAGATGGAGTTGTAGTGAAGCAAGGGTAGAAATAATGACTCCTTTTAAGAAGCCTTTGGATAATCCAAGAAAGAAAAGATAGTGATTTGAACCTATTTGGGTAGTGGGGAGATGGGAAGTAGGGTTGATGGAGACACATTTTGAAAGTAACAGATATGACCTGAATGGATTGAATAAGGATGGGAAGGATAGTCAAAGATGACTAGTTGTTTTGGAATTGAGCATCCAGTTGTATGGCCAAAGCACATCCGGAGATGGGAAAAACTAGAATTTTACCTTTGCAGGGTTACCAGTAATTTGCTGTAGGGAGTGTTTGAGCTATCATTTGATTATCTAATTGGAAATTTTGGATTGATTGATGAGTGTCTCCCACTCAGGGAAGAGAGCTCATAAAATTTACAAATGTAGAGTAATATGGACCACCTCTGTGCCATGTGCTAGATGTATTTGCCTTGGGAGAGTGGGGAGCTTTTGGACTGAGTCCTTAGTACTCCATCATTTAGGGATCTAGTGAAGGAAGAAAAGAGAACAAAACATAGTACTTGGCCACAGCAATAGCAGAAACAGTAAAGTGAGTCCAGAGAAGAATATTTAAAATGAAGAGAGAAGGCTCATGGGATTTGGCAGTCCACTTGCTGACAGAAACAGCAGGGGATAGAGCAAGTTCACGTGTAGGTGCAAGGTGGGGAAGTAGAGACCCTAATGTAGGCAGCACAATCAAAAAATTGACCCAGCAATCAGAGAAGATCAAAGAGTTTGGGGTGGCACCAGGGGAAAGTGTGTTCCTGTGGAGATGAAGATGCAGCACCAGAGAATGTTCACAGGCGATGGGATGAGCTAGTAGAGGAGAAAAATCCCTTTAGGACTTGGGGCACTTCTCTTTCTTGCCATTTGGTCCACAAGCATAAAAGCCTTTAGGCTTCAGTTCCTTTGGTTGCAGTAAAGGTTGCATTTTTATTGGGGGAGGAGTGTGAGTGGTTACCTCCCTGGCTGGCCTTTGCCTTTCGTCCGTCCATCCAGCTGCTGCCAGGTAAACACTTCCTAAAACTGAGCTGCTGTCCTGGCTTATGCCCTTCAGCAGGTTCCCAAAGCCTTCAGAGTTATGAACTCCTTGATACACAGTCACCCCTCAGCCTTTGCCAACCCTCTGCTCCCTGCTGGAGTGCCTTGTGCTGTTTCATGTGTCCTGTCCTTTGCCTGTGTGGTGCCTTCTCTAGGAATGCTGTGCTCTGCTCCTTCCTAGGTTCCCAGAAGACTTCCCACACCTGGTTTCTCTCGTCCAGGCTTTGTGGTTGCTTTTCAGCCTTGTCCCCAGGAATTGCTCTCTGCCAGAGTTAAGATGGGGATTACTTTACCACCTGGTTGTGAGTTCCTTGACTCAGTCTCCCCTGCTTAAGTGGTGCTTGACACATGGTTGACTAGTTATGAATGGTTGCGCAAACATACCTAACTGCACACAAGAGCAATTAGGCTGTTTAAAAGCTTTCTAGTTGCTTGAAAGCCTTATCTTATGTTTAAAGAGTTTGAGCTTTGTGTAAGTTAAAGCATGAAATAAAAAGGACAGCATGGTAGAGAAGACCATATCCTGTCTCAAAGCTGGTTTAAAATCCCGACTGCCCCCTCCCACCTTTCTTGTCTTTATTGCTCTTTAGTCTCAGGAATAATTAACCTGATGACAAATTCTGTTTTATACTTCCACAAGGTCAATTTTGTTGGAGTTATACATGAAAATAATTATACCAAATCAAGAAATTCATTAATTTTAATGGAGGTTGTATTCCAGTTATTCTCCCATGCCTCCTTGCCTTCATCTCATTTGATAGAAAGGAGGTGGTTTAATTTATAGGGCTAGGAAATAAAAATGTAAGGATTTGTTAATTTTTGTTTCTGCTTTCAATTTTGCCCTTAAAATTTCAGAGTAGTATGGAACATTATTGATAATTCTCTGGAACATCCTGCATACGTATACTAACTGCATTCATTTTATGTATAAACGAATTGTCTCTCCGGGGCTTGGTTTTCCTCAATGAAAGTGGTATTCTTTAAGGAATTAAGGCTAATGAGACCTATGCCTTAATGGGAGATGTCTCCTGAGCTCAAAGATCAGATGTTTATTGTACAGTTAAAAGTTTATTTTAAGAAAAAAATTGATGTTCAGAATTATTCCTCTGAGCAAATACGCCATTTGCTCCTACTTGGTGTATTAGCTTTCCCATTGCTGGAACAAAATAGCCAACACAGACTACTTTAAAAGGAAGAAAGGTTTGACTCATGATCTCGGGGGATTCAGTTCATGGTTTGCTAATTCTAAGGTAGAAATAGCATGGGAAGAAAGATAGCCAGGGAGCAGAGAGAGAAGATAGGAGCCAGAGAGGGAAATAGACCCTCCAGAGGCATCCCCAGTAACATATCTTGTCAACCAAGCCCCACCACCAGACAGAATAGTTAGCCACAAACTTATCAATGGATCAATTCATTGGTGAGTATAGTGCTCCCATGATCCCAACATCTCCCACTTCTAACTGTATCAGACAGTTGAGGGGAGGCATTCTAGATCTAAACCATAATACTGGTTAATCAGTACTTGAAAAATAAAGCATTTTGAATTATTTGTTTTTAGGGGTTAAGGACTCCTCCAGGGATATTTCAAAATTGTAAAAACATGTATGGTTTGAAAATAAGGTTAACTTCATGATGCCTGAAGGTTCCGTTTGGACTCAACTTTTTTTACATGTTTCTGAGACCACTTTTTTGCTTTTTGCTTTCTTGGCTCCAAGAAAAAGGGTGGATTGATAATAGTTCGGCTTGCATCATTAGGCGCAGCCTCTGGCTGCAAGTGACAAAGATCCAGCTATAATCTTTTAACCAAAGTGTCATCCCTCCATATCTGGGGAAGTGTCCCAGCTAAGTTCCTCATATAAAATGGCATAGTATTTTCATATAGTCTTGCATGTATAAATCATCTCTAGGTTGCCTAAAATACCTAATACAGTGTAAATGCTATGTAAATATTTCTTATACTGTATTTTTAGGGAACAGTGACAAGACAAAAATCTGTACATGTTAAGTACAGACACATTTTTTCCAAGTACTTTTGATCTGAGGTTAGTTGAATCCACAGATGTGGAACCCACAAATACAGAAGGCTAACTGTACAGCTTTATTTTCCTCCTATAACAGATGCAGAGAGGAAGGAGCCAGGCTTGGTGCAGTGATCCCATGTTGTCATCCATTACTAGTCTTCTCCCCTTTAGCTACTGTGCTATCTTTAGCATCCTGTGGTTCTTTGGGGCCCCAGGACTACACCTTGTAAAAGCATGAGTTAGTTGAGACCCTGTTTATG